CAGAAATGGCAGGTATGATTCATATCTACACCGGTTTTAAAACAAAACAAGGCTCAGGATGTAGAATATACTCCAGATTTCTAAACCTGAATATAAAATGGGCTGTAAGCAATAGTGCCAGTGTAGTTCAAACAGAGCTAACGACAAGCACTACTCACCCTGAATAGACCACGAATTTATTTAGGGTTAGTACTAGAATATCACGAAGCTTTGGCCTAAGTATCCGTCAACAATGTGGTCACCCTTAAGATGGATTAAAGGTCACGCCACATCGAAAGGTAATCGTCTTGCTGATACACTAGCCAAGAAAGCAGCCAACCAAATACTTTACTTCTGTTGGCCTGACAAAATCGGTAGTAACAGACCTAATCAAAGAACATTTCCTTGTGAAATTCAAGGATAGATGGGATGAAGCAAGAAACTGCAGAGTTGCCAGGGAACTCTTAAGTTATCCTGACAACATTGCAGAAAACAAATACTTGACTATGACTAGACAAAATCTGCGCCTAGTCACAGGCATTCTGACTGGTCATTGCCAAGTACGAAAGCATCTCCATATCATGGGGCTGTCAGAATCCGCACTCTGCAAAAGGTGCGAAAAAGAAAATGAGACCGTTGAGCATATCCTTTACGATTGCTCGACGCTTTCATTTATTAGAAGATATGTGTTCGGCGAGTATCGGCTAACACCGGTCAATATAAGAGAAGCACCTCTTCGCGACGTTGTCAACTACATTAAATCTGTAGGCTGGTTCACGAGCTAGGAGTTGCCTATCATCTCAGGAGGATGCGCCTATGGGCTTAATGAGGTCTAAGTGCCGTGGGGTAACCCACCCTCCACACGTTACAGATACAGATGTATCTGCAAACCAATGGATAATAAAATTTTAATAATTAAATGTTCTGCTATGCAGATTATCTGACGACAGTAGTAGAGACAAACATTATCGAATACAAATTATTTAGAGAAATTTTCACGACTGTATCTGCCCTAATATGGCAGTTATACATTGAGAGTGTACTTAATTTTCTTTCTGTAATTTATATTATATTTCATTAGATTATTTTATAACTTTTTCTAGAATATAGTCGAAAAGAACAGGAGTCAATTTACGTTCTTATTTCTTAATACCAATGTACATGCGTGAATATTTTTATGATTTAGTAGAAAGACTTTTGATGAATGATCCATCAATTAATCTGGTTTTTCTCTTCCTACTCGATTAACTGCTTTCTTTAATATTGTCTGTAAAACATTGAATTGGATTTGATGAATAATTTGCAGCCTGACCTATAGTGGTCTATCATTTTGATAATTTGTTTACTGTTTCATTTAATGCCTTGTGTTATTATAGTTTATTTGAAAATGAATTAATTTTTTATATCCCATGAGAAAAACGCAACATCATATATCAGTGACGGAAAATTTCTAAAATAAAAGGTTTGACATTATTTGTTCCAAAATAAAATCTTTGGTTTTCTTTCTACAATTTTTAAAAATACCAATTTATTTAATTCTTGTCTTAAATTTTCAAGAAAAATAAGGTAAATATGTAATCTCTACAGGTAGAAAATATTTGCAATTCAATGTTAATTTAAGTAGCCTTTAACTTTCTTAGAAATGTTTAAAATTTCTAATCGGCAGAAGTTTTATGCAGATTGTAATTTATTTTAGTTAAAATTTACTTTTTTGTTTGTATAGTCATCTGATTGTAATACGCAGAATTGTTAGTTCTGTGATAATAGGCGATAAAAAGCATTATTGATTAAGTGAATTTGTGTAATAAAAATGGCACAAACGTCTAGTTATAGTCCTGTAAAACTAAACTGCAATTTAACCATGCATATGAAAACTTTAGTGTTAATTGTACATGTCGCTTTTGAACATTTCAATAGTATTGTTCCGAGTAGAGCTTTTAAGTATTCAAATATGACCAGAGTTGGAGAAACAACCATTTATAGACTTTTAAAGCAACGAAAAGATGAAAGTATTACAGTAGCACTTAAAAATGGGAGAAAACCCATTTAAACAGACAATACTATAAAACTACATGTTCAGAAAAAAAGTGGATCCATTAAAGATACCTACTTTAAATAGTTTTTGTAAACATTAATGAAGACGAAGCTTTGCTAAACGTTAAAAAGAGACAAATTTTGGAAAACTTTACATGAATTAGACTTTGTTTGGGAGAAGAACGATTCAAAATCTGCTCTCATAGAGAAACATGAAATTTTTTGTTGGAGGAGGCAATATTTAAGGGAAATTAAGAGTAGAAGACAAAAATATTTTTTATTTGTATGAAACATGGATAAATAATGGATATTTTGTAAAAAAAGTTTGGCAAGATAAACAGGTTACAAATGCTCGTCAGGCATTTATAGAAGGTTTGTCTACTGGCTTAAAATTTCCAAACGGTAAAGATCGCCGTTTAATGATCACTCATATTGGGGTCTATTCTGTAACAATTCCTTTATATTTAACGGCCTTTAAAAATATTGGCGGCCTTTAAAAACATTTTCGTATTCGTTAATTTACTTCTGTCATTATTTAAACAGATTTCTTTAAGATAGTCCTCTAATGTGTTTTAAAGATCCGTTTAAATAATGACAGAAGTAAAGAAGAAAATATTTTTAAAGGCCGTTAAATATAAAGGAATTGTTACAGAATAGACCCCATTGGAGGAGATTAAGGATTTGTTGATAGAGGTTTGTTCGAATTTGTTTCAAATTCTAAGAAAGACTACCATAAAGAAATAACTCCTGATGTTTTTGAGGAATATTTCAGTCAAATGATAGATTTATTACCGACCAATTCTGTAATAGTTATGGACAATGCTAGTTCCCATTCAAGATTAAAGGAACCGTTACCTAACACTAAATAGTGGAGCGAAATTCGTACAAAAAGTCGCTTATTTTTCGAGATAAAAAAAATTGGGGTACAACCAGATGAGACCACATAGGTTTTGTAAAGTTAACATTTTTACATAATAAATTTTAATTTACGACATTTTTTTGTGTTTCAGATTTTTTTTTTTTTTTTTAAAAACAAGAAAAATTAACGATTTTCAAAAATTTATTTTTTTAAGTTAACATCGTAATAATTCTAAAACTAATTGAGATATCGATTTAGTTTTTATTTTAGGTTAAAGTACAAAGAAAACTGGTTCTAGCAGTGTTAATTATATTGTTAAATATGGTTCAAAAATTTATTTAAATAATGAACAAAATATAAATTCTGTAAAAATGTATGGAAATTTTCAACAATGAACAAACCTATTTTTTTGTAAAAATTTTACAGTACATGCAGCGACGCAGATAAGCATAATAGTATATTATTTAACGATCGGTTATGACCATTACCGCAAGTTGAATACTATACTTTATCTACGACTATAACAATAAATACTAAGATACAAGTATCGAGAAGGAATTATACAATTGAGTAGATGATAAAAATGTTTGAATCTTTGTAAAAGCTATTATTTTTGTCGCCAGATATTTCTCATCAGGAGCTTTATTTATGAAATTATTAAGTTGTTCTGGCGTAAATGTTTTTGCCTTTTTAGGTATATATTTTTCTGATTGACGTTTATGAAACGCACGTAATTTTGAATAAATCTTTATATTATTTTCATTATTTATGTTGAGTATCCTTCTAAGCAAGGAGTAGAAAGTCCAGAGACGATGCTTTATATTTAAAAAGTGAGTATTTTATGAGAAAACATTTTTTTACAAAGATTTTTTTTGTATATCATATAAATTTGGTTATGTGTATATTATTAAATTTTAAGGAAATGTCCTAACCTAATATCTAGTATACTATTTTTATAAAAATAATTGTGGGTACTTAATATTGACAGTTTACTATTTTTTATATTAAAATAATTTGGTGTTTCCCATCACTGAGGTATAGAATTATTGATTAATTCCTTGGGATTTGCTCATTTACATTTTATGATGTATGTATATGAGGGTTTTCGAACTGGTCATACTAAAATCTGGTGAAAATTCAGATAAGAAAATATTTAATATTTACTTTTTTCTACTTTGAACAAACCTGTATATAGACCTTTGCCATAAATACTGATTTAAAACGTAGCCATATAAACACTAAGGATGCAGACTCTGCATTGCAGAGTGTCCAGGTAGGTTAAAATCGGCTTTTACGTATGACATGGTCCTAAAAGTTGTGTTGAGTTAATGTCAATGTCAAATTGGTGTACTGTGAGCATTTCAGAAGAGCAAATACACCAAAACATAAGCGAAATTTTAGACATAAAAATATTTTTCACAAGATGGGTGCCACAATTGCTAACATCAGAACTAAAGGTCATTAACGTTTCAGAAAAAAGTTTGATCCTACTTAACTACAGACGAGACTTTGGTCAGTGGTTTGTGATGCAATAGGCAATATTTTTATTGATTTATTTCATAAGGTTAAATATTATTTTAACTTGCTTGATCAATTACAATAGAAAATTCTGGAGAAAATTCCCAGATTGTTAAAAAAAAGCTTATTTTTACGATGGTGAAAATTCATGAACTGGGCTTTGATTTACTTTTCTCATGTATCTTACTCACAAGACTCAGCCCATTCTGACTTTACTTTATTTTCAAACATATAAAAAGTAACATCTTCAAGCAATATGCGTTCGATTAGAAAGTTATTGCCAGCACCAATGCCTATTTTAAAAAGCTGGACAAATCTGGCTATAGAAACGGCATAACGTTGGGAAAAAGATAAAAGAATTTTTGAATTAATATTTTGTTTTTATCTCTTAGGCTGGAAACTATTTATCCAATCCTCGTATATAAACTTTTTACCTTTTCTGTAATTTTTTATTTCCCTTAGCAATCTTTTTCATTTGAGCGTTCTATTGTGACTTAACTGAAGTTACTTTTTAAATTACCCCTTTCTTTATAGGTAAATGTATATTATAATACCAGGATTTTATTTAGTACTAAATTTTAAGTATAACTATCTATTTTATATGTTACAGGCATGCGATGCAAAAGCTGGTATTATTGTGGTCTCTATTACGATGTTAATATGTTACACACTGGCTACAGTCACGATCTCGGGTTCTCCATTATTGCAAAAACTATCGTCAAACTGGACCAGGGACGTGGCAAATGGCCCTTGTTGTATTATGCCAATTTGTGTAAATACCACACAATGCTACCAAACAATAAGTTGTGGATATCTCTGCACAAAGAAAGAATTTGCTTTAAGGTAAATATTTAGTTTTAAAAAAGTCCTTTTTATAAAAGCTGTAGAATGGGTATTAAACACTATAGTTTCACCTCCATTTGCTGACTGGTTTCAAGGTTAAACGGAAAACTGTTTACCTACGATTTTATTTGATCTTTGTATTTTATTTTTTTACTCAACAACTTGGCATGGAAAATTGAGATTTTATTTTCACATTATTGAAACAAAATGTTATGTACAACTCTAATGCAACTATCTATGACTATTCATAGATAGTTGCATTTCATTTTTATTGTTTGATTAATTTACATTGGAACAGTTATGTGTAATTCCGGACATCACATTAATTTGAGGTAGTCTCAAGGGCAGCTGTATTCGAGAACCTTACTGTTGGATAGTAGTAAACTATTGTGACACCATTTTCATCCCTTACTAACTGGAGTTACCTACAAACGAAGGACGATATTTTAATTAGAGGTTAAATAAGTGGACCTATTCATACCTTTGGATCCAATAGGCTATTTTGTCAAGTAACCCTTCCAAAGAGGTCTTTGAATTCAACTCTTGCCTAAGTAGGATAGTTTCAATCTCCAAGGTAGGAATTTTACTGATTATACTAGCTCAAGACTATCAAATAGAAGGTGTTATCACACGAAATATCTCCACCCTCAGTGTTTGGGAATATTCTGAAAATTGTATATATTATTAACCTTTTAGTTTGTATATATTAAAATCATTTATTTTGTAAGCCACCCAAGATAGATATCTATTTTAAGCGGTACGTAAGCTGTATATATATTAAATTCAAAGGACTTACCTATTACAACCGAATTATAGCTAGGTATTGAATAAAACCTAAAGATTCTCCTTTATTTTTTTTAATAAACACGTTTCAATTATATACCATAACCTTAAATTATTCAGTATTCTTCTTTTCCATTTGCGGTATCCATCTCATAAAATTTATCCAGGTAATAATCGATTCTATCTCGGTACAATCGAAAAAAGGGTCTAAACCGAATCAGACATTCAGCCAAATTCTAGAATAAAAGGAAAAATCCCTACGACCCTCTCTCTGACTGAGCAGAGATAATTAATTACCCCATTATATGTATATTGTTTTGCTCTGAAGGTCATAGCAACTTTAAGGTAAATTATTTTCTATTATTTTAAGCATAAAAGTATTTTCAGGTTATAATGTTTATTTAAAAATTTTATACAATAATATTTATTTTACAAAAGTAATTTATATTTTGTTTTTGTTTTTTTGTTTCATTGTCTATGTCGACATAGTACAGTTTTATAAAGGTTATATTTTTAAAATCAGCTTATCAAAACCTTTCTAGAGGTATACTATATTATGTATAGTGATGTTACAATAAAAGTTGACTAAAAATATAACACTATGTTCAATAGACTTAAGGTGATTACAGCACCCCCTTATAATATTCGGACAAGGATATCTCAAAAAGTAATATTTTTTAAAAATTAAAATTTTGGTAAAATATATTAGGCAATAATATCTAGAATATGCATACATTTTAGTTTTTTTCTAGTTTCCGAGAAAAAAATCAAAGCGCTTTAAATTTTGAAATATCATAATGAAAATAAATGCATTCTTTAACAGCACTATTCATAATATAATCCCTAAATTTAAGCTCTTAATCTCTTGTAAATGATTTTTGAAAATTCGCCGAAATTAGTGACTAAAATGCCTCGTTAAGTGTTATTTTCTGGTGTAAATCGTTGCAAGAAACAAATGATGACTCAGAGTGTACGATACGATAGTTACAGACGCGTTAGTGACAGTGACAGTGACAGTGACAGTGAGTATCATAAGTCTTACACCCCCCCCCCCTATCTAACTCGTCACTGGAGTCTTGTTAGGAAAATCGCCGAGACACTTCGAGTTTTGATTTCTACAATGTACATTTTTGTTTACCCTTAATTTCATCCCTTACTGGAGGGGAGCAACTCTTTCGAAAAATTTAAATGGTATGAAGTGGTGAGTAATAGCTATTTGAAAGGGGGATTTATTCTCTATTTAACCGTGCAAAAAGTTTTAAAATTTACGTGTTGATTTATTAATGTTTAAAATGTTTAAAAATAATAAAACATCACAAACAGGAAAGCAACTAAACTAACCGTAACTTTTCTGTTATTACAATAAATGTTTAAAATGTTCCCCGTTGACCTCCTGGCAAAAATAAAGTCACTGTTAGTTAAGTTGCTTTCTTGTTTGTGATGTTTTGTTATTTTTAAACATTAATAAATCAACACGTGATGAAACAAATTTAAAATTTTTTTGAACGCTTGCATAGAGAATAGAACCCCCTTTCAAATGAGCTATCACTCACCACCCCATGCCATTTTAATTTTTCGAAAGGGTTGCTCCCCTCCAGTAAGGGATAAAATCAAGGGAAAACTATTCATACAAAAATGTGCATTGTAGAAATCAAAAATTGACGTGGCTCGGTGATTTTTCTAACAAGACTCCAGTAACAAGTTAGATAGGGGAGGTAAGAATTATGATGCTCACTGTATAAAGGCATGTCATAGAAAAATTGTTATCAGAACATAGAAATCTGTTACAAAAACAAACAATTTATGTATATAAAAAAAAGTTTTAATAGGATATTAGTAAGCAATACAAATTGTGACAATAATTGGGGTTAATTGCATTTTCTTGTCGAAATATAAATAACCTTAGTTGTTGAAGCCAAAGACACCAACGAAAAAAAAAAGAATGTAAATATTACACACAAAAAGTGTATCAACAACATTCAGTCTGCTTTACTAAAAAATTTACTAGAATGACATAGTGCAGTCTACCTCCGAGGTACTGATTACCAGTTAAATACTTTTTAAAACTTTGACATCATTTTCTTATTGTGCCTTTTTTTAGTCTATTATGTTATTGTTTTAGCCTTGATTATATTAATATTGTACTCTTTACACAGTAGTCTGTGAAGAGTATTATAGGTTTACTTTGATCGTCTGTCCGATGTCACATTTTTGTCTGCACGATAAGTATAAAACGAGAAATGATATTAACTTGAAAACTTTAACCAAAAATAAGACTCTATAAAGAGACATATAATATTTATTTTGAACAAACATCTGAATAAAAATGGGGGTTAAGATGGGTTGAAATAAAAAAAAAATCCTAAATTAAAAACGAAAAACGATATCAACATGAAATTTTTAGTAAAAATGAAGCTCTATAAGAATATAAAACCAATTGATTTTGCAAAAAATCTGAATAAATCGAGTGGTTAATTAAGGAGGGTTAAAATATTAAAAAAAAAAAAAATTAAAAACATAAAATTATATCAAATTTTTAGCAAACATCAAGCTCTATAAGAGGAGGATGCCCTTTCATTTTAAAAACAAATTTACATAAAAATGGGGGCTAAAGAAGGTTGAAATATTTAAAAAAATTTATTAGATAAGCTCAGCGGAAAGAGAAGAACCTTCGTATTATGATTCTGTATAAAAAAAATAACGGCAGCACTTAGGCATTTCGTAACCTCATCATTATTGAAGAAGGCGAAATATTGGTAACTAATCCTAATAATCCCAATAATTAAACCTAGTCTGGCACATTTCTTTGATCAATCTATCGATGTGAATGGTCTCTCTATTTTATAAAATGAATGTAGATGTACAACAAGGCTCAGCTTTAGACCCAATACTATTTTTATTACACATCAATTACTTAATTTCCAGTTCAGTTAAAAACTGAAGGAAACACCATTTTTCTTAAACAAATATATTATACGGGTATAAAAAACAATTATACAAAATAAGTTACAACGTGATCCAACTCAATATAACACATTAACAATGTAATCCATTTACCAAATTCATTAATTGGCGCCCATCTCATAACCCTTGACTAAACGATAAAATCACGATACAAAACAAACACCAACTTTCCACCTTTCACGATCAAGATTCACAGCCTCCGTTTGGATATTCTGCAACTGGAGGCGATAACAAAAATTTGTAGATACTAGGAGAATCTCCTACAAAGAGAATTCTACCCAGTGGAAAAAACGAATTGCGTCTCTCCGTGATTACCTTAATAAGTTTTCCATAGTTTATTGTTTTTAAACAACCTTGTATATGATTGTAACTTAAAACAAAGTCATGTCATAACATGGTTATATATACAGGGTGTTTCTTAAATAAATATATAAATTAGATGTGTAATTCTAACAATATTTTACCCCATATAATCTCTTGACGCCATAAAGGCAAAAATAAGACTTACCCCGAATATTGATCACACACTTGAAGAAATAATAGCAGTACAAAAATGTATCAATTCTATCTGTCTAATTAGCTATCCCAATCACATTAAAAATTTCGCTCCTCTTGGTCATCGGCGTATAGTTAGTGATGTCTTTTTTCTATAGATAATTTAAAAATAACTGCTCTTTCAAACTTTCTTACATTGCCTCACCAAGCAGTGTGACTCGCAAGTGACCTAATTCAGATCAGGACATAATTCAATGTCTAGAACTGACATGTCTATAGAAAGTTCTTCCCCAACAAGTCTACTTGTCTCTCCTAACTACTCAAATTTCTAAAATCAACATTAAGAAACTATCCTTACTTTCATATAGGATGTCTGCAGAACACAGCATCTTCTTTGGTTTTTAACTCCGTAGATCCCAATTGAGGACCTTGATGCAAAAAGGGGATGAGTCACTATTTCAAAAATGTTCAAAAAACGATTTTTATTTTATTATTTTTATTATTAATATTATTACTTTATATTATTAAAAACAAATAGTTTTGGCAAAAAAATGAGACCTGGGGTAATTTACTGAAAGAAAAGCTGCAAAAATTTTGAATTTTGTTTATTTGGTACAAGAACGGGATAAGTCACAAAAATAAAAATTTACGAATAGTCAAGATATTACATATTAAATTACATTATTATTCAGAGAAGGTATCTTCGTCTCCATCTGTGCCTGAATTATTATTATTTTCGAGGGGATCATTAGTACTTTTTAAATTGTAATAAAATGCCAAATCAGATTTTGGTACGTACTCTGTGGCCAGTTGCATAACATTTTTAAATTTTGCATCCTTAATGGGCAACAAGGCATTATAGCAAGTATTTTTTTCTGTAAATTGGACAGATTTTTTAAAATTCAGTAAAGTAAATTTCTGAAAGTTCTGAATACAAAAAAACTCGGTAAGTAGAAACAGCAAATTTTTCCTTATTAGGATTTTTTGGCACTTGGAGAGACAATTCCTTTACAAGAGAACAAAAATCATAAATCATATTTTGCGTAACAGTTATAACTTTAAATTTTAACGAAGCTTTTTCAACTAATTTGTGATATTCCTGAGGTAAGTAAATACGTTCCACCAACCTTTTTTTCTTTTCAATAATACCGAATGATCTGTCACAAGGTAAAAAGCTGTGACCAGGTTCAGGAAATCTATGTATTATGGATTCAAATTTTTGTATTTTGCACAACCCTGCCAAGTAACGGACCATTACATTGTTTTTATTTTGCGCACAGCAGTTGTCCGAAAATAAGTAAAGCTTCTTAACACCTGGGCTTAATTTGTTCGTAATATAATGATGTAAGAAACTGATAACTTCATTGGCTCCCTTTTTTGCAGTTGTTTCGTCATACATGTAAAAATGAGACGACTTGTTTTTAGCGGAATGAATACAAAAATTGTACATCCACAGCTGTCGTAGGTAGAATGCATCTGTAGATGGCACTTTTGGTAGTGGCAAATTCTGTTGAAAATCGAAGCAAAGGACCTCAATTTCTTTATATTTCTCGGCTTCTTCTGTACGCTGTTTTAATTCTTTATAAAACCATTCGGATTTCTTTAAATGTACATCTTTTTCAGCTTTTATTGCATTTCTTTTTTGCTTATCTAAAGTACTTTTAAACTTATTATCCAGTAAGTCACATTTCTTGCAAGTATCTGTTCTAGATCTACCAAAACTATAGTTAAAGTTTTCTTTAAAGTATCTAAAGTAGAAATCGTATGTTATAAGTGGTTTGTTACGTTCGCCTCTTTGGAGAAGTTCGTAGCAATGGTTTTCGTATTTTTTTAAATAAAGCTGGTGCATGATTTTAATATTTAATTCAGGAGATAAATAAAACTTGGCACTTTTTCCGTGACCGTAATGCGACTCCCTTTTTGGGAACGATCTGATGTGATCATTTAACTGTTGAATGATATTTTCAGGAATCATATTTGGTAAAATGCTTTCCCCGTTCATCAGGCGGGGGAGTTATGTTTGTCGACATGTGATTGCATATGCGTTCCAATCTTTTTTTTCCAATTCCATGTAATCGAACCAATGCTGTCTTACACACGATTATTTCAAAACCAGGCAACTTCACCTACAAATTTATCAAAACTAGGTACAAAAAACACGAATAATTGATGTAAACTTACCTTGTACTTAAAACTGTATGTGCGGTTCTTGGGATTTAATTTACGTGGTCGCGTTTTCTTTTTATGGTCAACAGAAATTAGATGGGCCAAATAGGAATCTTGTTTCTCTTGGTCACCCAATGCATTAAACGAAACCATAATTTCCAAGCGTTTATCAGCGGATAGCTTATCAAAGCACGCTTTTTTGCAGCCACAAGCAGCGCCTTGCTGTCTAGCTGCAACCTCTTGCCCTCGAGTTCCAACATAAGCTTCGCCTCTTGCTCGTTTAGCTTTTCTTATATTTCTTTGGCAGTTTTTAGGGTTTCTTTTCTTCTTTCTTTCCCTATTTTCAAGATTTTCGTTATTCATTTCTTCATTTACCACTTCTGAGCCTGCTGTAGAGGTCACACTCTCTGAAGTGCTAGCACGGTACTCACTGCCAGAGTCTTGAAATGGTTCGGATTCATCCGAATCGTAACTCGATCGCAACATTGAAAACACGTGGTCGCAAGATGGAAACAACTACACTCATGCACTGATTACTTTGTACTGGCACTACTAAAGCACCAAGCCCAAAACAATGCGAAATCCCGCGCTAAAAATATGGCGAATATAATCAGACACGCCCACTTCAAGACAACATTGGTTTGGTGCAAAAACGGGATAAGTCAACGCGACTTATCCCGTTCTTGCTCAGAATTTGTGTCGGAGACGAGTCAAAACCGTTAATAACTTTGTTGTCTATGGACGCACTAGTACCTTTCTTGCACCAAACAAACGATAATCTTTTAAAGAAGCGCATGCGACACGTATCTCTCTTTTGAAAAAATAGTGACTTATCCCCTTCTTGCTCCAAGGTCCTCAATTATTCATAAAACAACCATCTGAAACTCTAACCTGGACGTCACGATCAACATGTCATATTATGCCTCTGGGCTCCCAGAAAAGTATTCGACAAACCTCATAATTGTATTAATTTACTGTATTTATTAATTAGTTGGAATAAGGGAATTTAAAAGGTGAACAATACGAGACCTGTAAATAGGTAGTCAAATAAACTAGAAATTAGGATAAGAATCTGTGGTTTAGGAATTAAATAAACGTTATTCCTGCTTCTTTTAAATGACAACAGTCAGCAAATGGTTAATGCTTATAGATTGGCTAAACTTTAAATTGACATTCATCTTTGATTTAGAATTGCAATTAATTATGCTTGAATGTATATTCGTATTAAAACCTATAAAATAAAAGTACAAAAAAAAATTTTTATTAATTAAAATTGGTTGTATTTATTTTAGGAAAGAACACATTTCAACACCAGGATACAAAATAAGGGTATCATATTTCAGAAGAGATTGTCATTTAGAAGGATGTATCGAGTTGCAATTTGACTGTGATCGATGTCAGAATCCTGAAAAGCCTGATTTTAGTATATACGGTGTTAGTAAATTATGCAAAGATTGTTATTATAAATAAATTATTTATATATAATAAAAAAATATATTTTTAATAAATAAGAATAAAAACTAAACTAAATATGCTATAGCCAAAACTAAGGCGGTTACTACATACAACATTTTTTGAAATAATCCTTTCCTACTTCAAAGGCTCTATAAATATAGCATAAATGGGGTCGTACTGCAATGGATTAGTAGCTATCTTAAGAACAGAATTCATTTTAAGTTACCTTAGGTGTTCTTCAAGGATCACACCTTGGTTCCTTATTATTCAACTTATTTATTTATTTCATTGTTTTCAGTATGGGAAAGCACTATTGTTTGCAGATGATTTAAAAGTATTCCTAATTAGTAAAACCATTTATGATGCCCTCTGGCTTCAGTCTGACCTTGATAATCTGTCAAACTGGTGTTCCTTTAATGCCATGCCATGCGCTTTTATCGATCCCATGTACCACTACTACTTTTGATTATAACTTAAATGGTTATATTTTGGAGTCTGTTAATCAAATTAAAGACCTTGCAGTTATTCTAAATCCCACTTTAAGATTCAATTAACACATACCTAAGGCTATCCATAATTCCAAGAAAATGTTAGGTTTTATCAAAGGCTAACTCATGATTTTACTGATACAAGTGCAATTGAAGTCCTTTATTGTTAACTAGTCCGAACTCACCTAGATTATTGCTTTTCTGTCTGGTCTCCACATTCTTACATACATAGCCTATAAATTGGACAACCTTCGCGAGTATGGTTTGATAGAGAATTTTCAAACTAGGAGAAAACAGAGAGATCTGACATTACTTTTCAAAATTACCAATGGCAGATGCATCTGTACTGAACTTCTATCAAAAATAATTCTTGATGTTCCAACGCGCTCAACTCGACAACAACAAACATTTTATGTACCTTTTATCGTTTTAACCATACCTTTAGTAGCTGTATTCCAAGAATGTTAAGATTAGCCAACACTCATAACGATTTTGAGATATTTAACATCCCCTTTTATAAATTTATAAAGCAATTACTAAGTAATGAGCTTTAATCTTTGATCTTTAATTTTTAATGTGTAATGTAACTATTTTATTCAACCATATTGTCTTTTGTCTTTTTAAATCTTTTAAATTCTTTACCTATTTTAGTCTATATGTAATGAATCATACCACGTTTGTATTTTGGCACCATATATATTTCACTACATTTTAATTATAATTTTAAAATTCTAATTTATTTCTCAAATGGGCTTGCTTGTAAATAAATAAATAAATAAATTATCCACCTTCAGCCCCTTGAATATAGGCACTAGTTTTTAACTAAGAATATCATTATCTATAAAATATCAAAATTAACATAATTTAATATGCTTGTCTTCCTGTTTTTGCAAAAAAAAAACATTTAATATTTTCAGATAACTTCTTTATAAAATAATTGCTTTTGGCCCAAAATATTTTTGTCCAACTAGCAAAAAGATTACATTTATTGGTTACTTAATTTACGTAGAATAGGCTAAGGTTTTTACAGTAAAATAATAACGATATTATGTTTATATACATAATGATTGCACATTTTTTATTTCTTTTAGGGAATAAAAAATGTAAGACATATAATCAAATAAATGTACATAATGCTCTTAAAATTATGTGAATAAAACATGGTAAGTTATTAACTGTTTTTAATTGGACAATAATTGAACTAAACTTATTATTGTCAAATTGCAATCCAGACGGTTGAATGCAGTTTAGATTATTTTATTTATAAAAGCCATATTATGACAACTGCCTCTAAATTTTTCTTTTCTCGAAAATAGTTTTTTATTTCCAATAATATGTGAATACTTAAAATATGAGGTGAACCCAAACTAATTTGTGTAAAACTTTCTCTTATCAGATTCTAATTTCTACATTTACGTATTACTTAATTTTCCAAGAAGAAAAATAAGGAAAGAAGAAGAAGAAGAAGAAGAAAAAGAAGAAGAAGAAAAAGAAGAAGAAGAAAAAGAAAAAGAAGAAGAAGAAAAAGAAGAAGAAGCAGAAGAAGAAGATAAAAACTATGGTAAGTAATAATATTATTAGCATCCAAACTCTACTTTCCTAAATTGTTAATTACAAATCCATAACTTCATTTATTTTATTAATAAAAAATTATATTAATTTATTTTCAACGACTCCTGTGTTTTGTTTATTCAAGTTATTTAGTTTTCAGAAAATTGGGTTATTTTGTTGTGTATTGTATTTTAATTATTTTGTGTTGATTTAAAATGGAAAATAAGGTCCAAAACAACATTATTTTTTATTTAAAGAAAAGGTCGCATCGATCCCAAAGGTTATCAGTCAATTGTTACCAATTTGTGGAGTAAATAAAAAAAAGTCTACACTATAGGAAGAGCTAAATAGAAGACCTATGCTAACATACAGGGTGTTTCTAAATTCATGCGACAAAATTCAGGAGGTGATTGCTCGTATGAAATTAAGATGAGTCTTTCCTATAACAAAATGTTCTCAGCCCACCCCTTTCCCAAATATCACCCTTAAAAGGTGGTGACTAAAATTAAGTTTTTATTTTTTTTTTTTAATTTCAGTAAAGCTAGAAACTAGAAATTCTGCAATTTTCGTGCACTCGCAAAGGATTAACCACGGGTATTTTCTCAATATTTCTGTTACATATTATAGGGGGGTGAAATAAGCAACCCTTACTTTATTTCATATCAAAACTTTTTTTCGAGATGAAGTTTCATAAAATAAAATTATAACTTGAAATCCTTGTTTTATTTAAAAAAAAATTTAATTTCTAAATTTTTTCCCAAAACCATATTTTCAAAGAAAAAAATAATCACCACAATTTATATTTTTTTTAATAAATTGAGTGGAAAACAGTAAAGATGTAAAATGTTATGTCCTTTGCGAGTGCACGAAAGTAACAAAATTTCAAGTTTCTAGCTTTACTGAAATTTTAGAAAAAAAAAATTAAAACTCAATTTTAGTCACCACATTTTAAGGCTCATATCTCCTAAAGGGGTGGGCTGAGGAAATTTTGTTATAGGAAAGACCCATCTTAATTTTATACGAGCAATCACCTCCTAAATTTTGTCGCATGAATTTAGAAACATCCTGTACAGTTCAGTTGTCTGGGTACCAAAAACCCAAAAATTAACAGCTATCCGTAAACTAGAACAAATTCAAAGACCAGCATGTCTCAACATAACAGGAGCCATGAAAACAACACCGAGCAGTTACTTTTAGTTTCACTCCCCTTGATATTTAGATCAGGGAGGTTGCTCTGACGATAATGACACGCCTCCGTACGGTTGGAATTGAACCTGATATAGGATCTGGTGAGGCGAGATGAGCTATAGGCAGCAGGCGCTCGAATCTCACCAACATATGTCTGCCATAAGCCATATAAAGTTGTAACAGAACATATAAAAGAGCCGAAAGTGGCAGGTACGATTTATATCTACACTGACGGTTCTAAAACAAAACAAGGCTAAGGATGTGGAATATACTCCAGATTCTTAAACCTTAACATAAAATAGGCTGTGAGCAATAGTGCCAGTGTAGTTCAAACAGAGCTCACGGTAATTCTCATATCAGCAAAAGAAATCACCAGAAATAATATCACTGGAAGGAACATGCTCATCTATACAGATAGCAGACAAGCACTAATCGCCCTAAATAGACCACGAATTTATTAAGGGTTAGTACTAGAATGTCAAGAAGTTTTGGCCGAGGTGTCCATCAATACCGTGGTCAACTTAAGATGGATAAAAGCTCATGCCACATTCACTGGCCAAGAAAGCAGCTAACCAAATACTTCTAGTCGAAGCATTGAAGCAAAAAAGTTCGTAATTTTTCAGACTAGGACGGATCGGAATGCGGATCTTTGCATTCGCTTCCAAAAATATTTTGGAAAAAATGCCCCTACTTTTTATTTTATACAAACCGAAAATTGCATTGCTTCAGCTAAAAATGCATTCAAAAACTACATTTTTTTAGATGTCTTTTGGAGGATTAAAGAACTTTGTAAATAAGAGTCAAAACTGGCCCAAATCGAGTTGCCGGGGGTTTTCGAGATCGCTGATCACGATTATGATGTTTAAATTGACCCACAGCCGATCTAGAGCTCAGGAACGCCGATGAACGTCATCTCCGTGGGACTCTCCCGATATTCATGCGGGGAAGGAGAAAAACTCAGCCTCCTGGGGTTTTTTGGGTCGCTGAATTTAAATATGGCATCAAACACCCCCCGGATACTTAGTATGCTAGAACCTGGACGTTGACTTCATCCCCGAGAAGCGCTAAATCCAAATTTCGCGTCGAAAACGATCCACTGAATACCTGATGCACCGAACCTTGCACGCCGACCTCATCTGCGTGGACTTTCCTCACACTATCGAAGAAGATGAATTGAAAATCGTTATGGGGTTTTTTTTGGGGCGCTGAATCCGTCGAAAACGACCCCCCCAAAACCTGGTGCATTGGAACCTGACCCTGAATGTCTTTTTCGTATGACTATCCCAAAATTCACGCGGGGAAGGAAAGAAACTCCGGGTATTTTTGAGTCGCTAAATTCAAATGTGGCATCGTCGATCACATTCCGGACACTTGCTGCACCCGAACTTGGACGTAGACGGCATCCCCGAGAATTTTCCTGACAAGATCTCGAAAAAAAATTCAAAAATAATTCCATAAAAATGTACTAGATTGTATAAATTGTACCATATTTTTCGAATTCTAATGGTTTGGTTCACTTAAAAAAAAAAAAAACAAAACTAAAAAAACAAAAAAAAGCATTTATCGAGAACGAATACAAAAACACAAACAAGGAAGAACCCAACAATATATTATACCAGTCAAATGAAAACAGGCTAAAAAAAGAAAAAGTACTACATTTTACTTCGAGTATACTAGAGTAACAGATTCTTAAATACTAGATCTAGTACAATTGCACTAGACTGGTAACACTGCTTAGGAAAAAGTTTCTGTGTATACTTACACTAAAACGTTTCGATCGTTAGGAGAAAAGTGAAAGGTTGCTCGGCAAAGTTCGGAGATCAAGCAGGAGATTATTCTCGTAA